CTGATAAAGCTGAGTATTGAATAGAATTCCACACCAATTGTTTCAGAGTCCTTAAGCCATCCTTATTAGAGGCCAGACTCATGATCGCATAATAGTAATCATAACTTAAACCTTGTACACCCCAAAATGCGGGAGCATCGTTTGATATAACCATCGGTATATTGTTAGCTAATAGAATAGCTCCAGGATGATTTCGTAAATCGCTTACTAAATGTAAAACTTGATTAGATATGGGACAGACTTCAACAGGTATATCTTTTTCTTTGATTATTTTCATTAGCAGAGGATGTTTAGACAAAGCGTAACCCAATCCAATTCGTGTAGTATTCAAAAGAATAGCATCCACCAGATTCAAATCCGTATCACCATAAGAATCTATTTAGGAACGAAATATTATTGAAATTCTTACATTCGAAGTTTAAAACTGACTGGTTTCTCCAGCATGGAAGAAAAATTTCGTCTTATCTGATAATTCGATTAAATTATCAGCGAAACTTAGTAAGCGCGGATCCGAGTCCTCTGGACCCACCATATCGAAACCTACTAATTTATCGGGTTGTCTAGTGCTGCGTTTCGATAAAAGTGAAGAAAAAAAATTAAAGAAAGGGGAAGAGAAGAAAAAATTAGAAAAAGATGTTAAAGAAAAGAATATAGAGAAAAAAAAGGAAAGAAACAAAGAAGAGAAGGAAAGAAAGGAGGAGAAAAGTAAAGCAAAAAAAAGGAAAGGAAAGAAAGGAGGAGAAAAGTAAAGCAAACGAAAGGAAAAGAAAGGAAAGGAAAGGAAAGGATAAGAGAGGGAAGGAGAAAAAACGTCTTACGTGTAGTTTTTCAATCTTGAATAATATTCCTGTAGCTCGTCTGGCTTAGAACCGCGTAAGACGGTATAAATCAGTCTGACGCCCAAAAAATCTGGATGTTCCTTCTTGAATTGCTCCGTAACTTCCCATAGCTGAAGAATGCTTCGTTCACGATCAAGTCTCCCATTCTCGGTATACAACTACATAAAAAGTGTATCGTATATTACATAGCCTTAAACCTAACTTTGAACTTACCCTAAACAATTCCACACGCAATTCGGCGTACATAACATTATCCTCATACAATTCCTCTAGCAAACGCCAGTAAAAAGCTTTAGCGGCTGGCAAGTATTGTACAGCATCCCACAAACCAAAAAACATTTGCACAAATTTACCCCAGACCTTGTTAATCGTAGGATAATCCTCTAAATAAGTACATTAGAAACTGACGACGAACTTTTTGCTTTTTACAAACAACTTACTTTCTGGTGTCGGAGTAAATAAATTAAAAGCTGCCGCTAAGTTCTTATCGTATTCTTCAGCGTTTTGGGATTTTCGTTCATCATTCACGTCCGTGAAATCGGATTTACACTTATGCGGTTCAGCATTGGGACGGAACGTCAACACCGGAGCATTTGCTCGATTAATACATTTTTTCAAACCCGAAAGATAAGTAATGTTTTTTATAATCCATTCGGGTGATACTGATGCTAAGGCGTGCAAATGTAACGCTCCACCTTTCGGCATTTTCTTCAAAAATTTGAACACCATACTATTTTCAATAACACCTTTCGCTTTAAAGAAATGCATAGCCGGAGCATTTTGCGAAGTGTCATTAAAAGCTAATGATAGCTCATTATTTTTATGTTTCATAAATATACGATTAACTTCCTTTTCCTCCTCAGTCAATTCTAGTTTGCCGCCCAAACTGTGCCTCCTATCTCTTTTTATTAATTTATTTCGAGAATCTTGAAAATTAATTTTAAATATAAAAATGGAATGCAACGCAAATAGATATTCCCTCCCTCTTACGTACCCAAATACTCCTGGTCAGCAGCTGAGGTGATGGCTCCAAATAAAGCCAAAATAATTATAAATTTAACTCCAAGCATTTCGATACTGTTTCAACTCGAAACGAATCATTCGGTCTAACTAGCGACTGATTGTTATAACCCGCCAATATATGGCCATTTCGATATCGTTGTTTTTTGTTATTTATTTCATTTACGTAATGGAGAATAATAGCACAAAGAACAATTGTTTCAATATTAACAAAAACGACAAGTTTGACATGAATATGAAATGTAGAGAAACTCTTTCTAAGTCAATAATAAGAACGCCACTCGAAATTCTCGTATGTTATTCACATATAACAATATATAATAATCGATTTTTAAAATTTGAAAAATTTATTTTAATAGAATGATATAATTAAGGAAAGGACAAATAGCCTTCTGAGATCATCCACCTAAGGACACATCACCTTGAATATCATGATGGGAATGAAAGTTGTGCTCAAACAGATTGCGTGCTTTAAAGTTTCTTCCCCGTTTTAGTCCTATATTTATTCGTAAGATTTGCAATAAAAAACGTTTACTACGTAATATAGTATGTATAGTATATAATAGAAATTTGCAGCGCGAAGATTGACCTCAGTTGAATTCGAATCAGCTCAGTTCGAATGAAATCAAAAATGATTGGCAAGACTAACACTTTCACAGATAAATGTAGAAAGAGAAGATATTTTGTTATTTCCTTTTTGTTGGCCGACTCACCAGAACCATCTTCACTCGATCTGCCAAGAAGTACGCTACTCTATCATAACAATTTGATACAACATGATAAAACAATTAAAATTAGTGCAGTGTCTAGAAGATAAGTGTGTAAATATCCGCCTGAGTAGCCGAAAGCGAGGAATCTCGACTAGCAAGCCAATGGTCGTGGGTTCGAATCTCAAGTGCGGTAGAGTTTTTAATAAAAGCCGGTAGCCTTGGATGCTAGTGCTTTTAAGAGTTTAGTCTGGCGAAATTAATAATAATAATAATAATAATAAGAGTGTAAATAAATAACGACGTGAATTCCTTACTAACATTGAGGAAAGTATCAAGTGCTCATTCGGATTAAAGGGGACATCGGTTAAAGTTTATAGAAGACATAATTAATGAGCATCGTTCGCAACAGCTGCAAACCAGGAAAAGAAATGCCTGGTGAATAGAACGCGGGTGTAGTATATTCCAATTCACTATTACCGTTTTCTCATAACACGATAAATTCGGCCGATCGCCATAAAGAAGGCATCTGGGATATTCGACGCTGGCACGGTTGATAATGGTTCCCTGAAACTGCGCCATTGCCCTATATGCTTCAAATATCGCATAGTGTTTCATCCTCTCGTAAACCATTTTCCTTCAAATTAAGCAAAAGATGTAAAGTTTCCTGCGTTTGACAGGTTTTTCGGTAATAAAAGCTCGACTTATTTCAAGAATAGAAAAATTGCATAGTTTACATTTGGCGGAATAACTTATATTTTATTATGAATGAAGGATTACGAAGTATTTTCGTAAACAATGTAAGGCCATCTTCTAGAAAATTCGCCTACAGGTCTAGAGACCCTTTAAAAGGTAAATTTTTTTCCCAAGGTTTTCAGTTTTGCACTTAAAAGGGTTTCTGAAACATCTTTTCCGTCACTAAAGAAATGCTGATCCAATTCTACTACATTGTGATTTACAGCAAAAATACTGCAGATCAGCAGGTCGCGAAACTGACTACATTTTAAATAAATTTTAGACCAGTAGCAATGCTACTGTAATCCACGAACAACCATTAAATAGCCGTTACCACTCTACAAATATTTTTATAACAGCTTTCCAAAATAAACAAATATATGTTAGAAATGGTCGAAAAGATAATTCGATCCGAACCATTTCCAATAGTGTTCATCCTAGGCCCGACAACCGATAGTGTATCAAATATCATCACAATATTTCAAAATTTACGCCCTCTAGGTTCAATATAAGAAATCTGGACAGACGAACGGGCAAGCACGAAAGTTGAGTCTGTTTCAAGTTCTCCCGATTGGTGCATACATCCGCACAAACTTGATAGACCCTTGTATCATAAGTGGTGTAGAATATAGAAAGGTTTGTGACCCTTCCATGTTTTCTTAAAGCTAAGAAAGGAATAGTTTCCCGAAAGTGGATTTTCAAAATAGTTCTTTGGATCTAACAAAAACGGGATATGTTAAGTAATTAATGAGGAAGAAATGATCAACCGTATGTAAATCTTTCCACTTAATTCGAGAACGATTAACTATTAAAAGTGAAAATAAAAAAGGTCAAGTTTTTCGATCTCTCAGTCAGATTTTCTCTCTTCCTCGCTATCCAATGTACGAACATTAAAAATGGAATATAAAAGCATAAAATATTGAAGGTTTAATTAAAAGTAAACTAGGACTTAAAAAACGCTACAGCAGGTGAAGGCGGAGCTTTTCCTAACTATTCAAAATTTATTGTTCAAAATTAAAATTCTATATTGACAGCGTCCGTAGCTGTGCTACGTTTAAAAAATTCATTTTATTAATTAATAATTATTATTTCAAACAATTCAGAATTTCATCTCTCCCTCGCTTTCGCTTTCGCTACCCCTCTCTCTCTCTCTCTCTCTGTCGTTTCTGTCGCTTTCACACTTCAGTTTCAAATTCCGGATCGTTTAACATTTCTTTTATAAATTTATTCCATTGGTTCTGTAACTTTTCCTCGGCCTTTTTCTTCTCTTCCGCTGATAAAGCTGAGTATTGAATAGAATTCCACACCAATTGTTTCAGAGTCCTTAAGCCATCCTTATTAGAGGCCAGACTCATGATCGCATAATAGTAATCATAACTTAAACCTTGTACACCCCAAAATGCGGGAGCATCGTTTGATATAACCATCGGTATATTGTTAGCTAATAGAATAGCTCCAGGATGATTTCGTAAATCGCT